CTCTGTTAGGTTTGCAGTCACTGTTATATAAGCAGTCACTGTTCCTGAAAGGTATAATTGTTAAAACAGTGATAGATTTCCTTCCAACAAGGGCAAAGAGGTGTCCAGGGACCTTCTGCTAATTAGACACAGTCAGTATGGTGTAATTCTACTTGGGCATTTACAAGATTGCACACTAAGGTTTTCATTCCCTTAAGCGGTTTTACTATTTTTTTTATTTTTTTTGTTTTTTTTTTCTCTCAATATTCTGCTAAATTGCCTTGTGTTGTAATATTGTTTTTGCTTTTTAATATGCTCTGCTTTTTGGAAAAGAGTATAAAACAATATACAAGGAAATTTAGAAATGTAGCAATTTATTAGTTTCCACAGTCTGAATTGAACAAGCCAAAAAATACTGCATAAGAAAAGGGCAGGATCTAGCCTGTTTGATGTGGGGGTGCAGTAGAAATGTCAGGGGGGCAGAGGATGGAAGATCAGCAGGACAGTGTACAGGGGATCAGCAGGGCAGAGGATAGAGTCAGCAGTTTGTAGGGCAGTGTACAGGGTTCATCAGGGGGAGCACAGGAGTCAGCAGAGCAGAGTACAGGGGTCAGGAGAGCTAAGGATAGTGGACAGCAGATCTGAGCACAGGGGTTAGCAAGGTGGAAGACAGGGGTCACAACTGGGAGTGCAGAGGACGGTAGTCACTGCTGGCAGAGTAGAGGACAAGGGTCACTGCTGCCAGGGCAGTGGACAGGGGTCACTTCTGGCAAGCAGTAGGACATGGGGCATTTAGCATAGCTCCTTCTCCCATCCCTGCACTGCACACAGCCTGGGCGCAGGCAGCTGAGCACCTTCTCAACACATACAGTAGCTGAGAAAAGTGTAGTGTCAGGTTAAGGCAGTGTTGTGTCAGATTAGGGCAGTATTGTGTCAGATTAGGCATTATAATGTCAGGCTAGGTAAGCATAGTGTCATTCTAGTCTCATTTTAGGGTAGTATAGTCTTATTCTATGACATTATTATGTAATTCTAGGGCAGTAGAGTGTCATTCTAGGACAGTATTAGGGCATTCTAGGGCAGTAAAGTGTCAGATTAGGACAGTATAGCGACAGATTAAGGCAGTATAGTGTAAGAGTAGGACAGAATACTGAAATATTAGGACAGTATAGTGTCATATTACAGCTGTACAGTGTCAGATTAGAGCAGTATAGTGTCAGACTAGAGCAGTATGGTATCATATTAGGACATTATAGTGTCAGACTAAAAGCAGTATGGTATCAGATTAGGGCAGTATAGTGACAGGTAAAGGGAGGATAGTGTCAGTTTAGGGTATTACAGTGTCAGGCTAGGGCAGTATAGTGTCAGTTTAGGGTATTATAATGTTAGGCAAGGGCAGTATATTGTCAATTTAGGGCAGTATGTGGTGTCAGGGTCTTAACCCATTTTTGTTGATCACAGACTCCCCAGGCTGCTGGGTTCACTCTTCCCCCTTCCCTTTCTTCAACTGCGGGATCAACCAGAGTAAAGCAGTGTGTGGGAGGAGTGGAGGAGACAAGCACAACCCCCATCCCTGCCCGCCAACACTGGCTGCCTCCAGGAGATACTGAATATCCCCAAGGGACAATTTAAGATAATTAAAGGACACGGGAGTGTTACAGACAGCCTCCCCCACTCTGCTGGGTCCCCTGCTGACTGATCATCGATTTAGCCAGGTAGTACATTTACTAGAACGTTTATAAAGCTGCAAGGACAAGAAAAGGTAGCTGTCTGCAGTATGGTTCTGTAGGCAGGCAGCGTTTGGGGTGGAAGGGGGCAGTGGGCTTTGGGAGGGGGGGACAACTAAAATCAGGGGGGCGTAGCCCATCCCAGCACCCCCCTAGAGCCAGCCATGCATAAGACTATTACATATAAACTTACAGACTATCATGTGGTCCACCAATTTGACCAATTTTTAGTGACCAAACGATCCTGGTAAAAAATATTCATAGCTTCCCTTTTCTAAATGCATGCTTTAGCCATTATGAAACATTTTATATAAAAGATAGAAAATATTTCAGAAATGCTTTGTTGCTTAATACCACCCCAAGGAGTTACATTCATTCCAGACAGACACTCTTACTGATAACCTCCAGTGAAATTGTAATCATATTACATGATAATGGTCCTTAACTCTGCAGTGTTCCAGAGGTAATGGTAATTTTTATCCAGCTCTCTTTTCACATTATATATACTGCTCAAAAAAATTAAAGGAACACTTGGAAAACACATCAGATCTCAATGGTGAAAAATATCCTGCTGGATATCTATACTGATATTGACTGGGTAATGTGCTAGGAGCGTAAGGATGCCCCATCGTTTGATGGAAATTAAAATGATCAACCTACAGAGGACTGAATTCAAAGACACCCAAAAATCCATCGATATGTCTCCCTAGACCATCAATGACCCACTACCAAACGGTCCTATTGAATGATGTTTCAGGCAGCGTAACATTCTCCACGGCTTCTCCAGACCCTTTCACATCTGTCACATGTGCTCAGGGGTGAACCTGCTGTCATCTGTGAAAAGCACAGGGTGCCAGTGGTGGACCTGCCAATTCTGGAGTTCAATGGCAAATGCCAATCAAGCTCTATGGTGCCGGGCAGTAAGCACAGGGCCCACTTGAGGACATCGGGCTCTCAGGCAACCCTCATGAAGTCTGTTTCTGATTGTTTGATCGGAGACGTTCACATCAGTGGCCTACTGGAGGTAATTTTGTAGGGATCTGGCAGTGCTCATCCTGTTCCTCCTTGCACACTGTAGCAGATACCGGTCCTGCTGATGGGTTAAGAACCTTTGAAGGCCCTGTCCTGCTTTCCTAGAGTAACTGCCTGTCTCCTGGAATCTCCTCCATTATCTTGAGACTGTGCTGGGAGACACAGCAAACCTTCTGGCAATGGCATGTATGGATGTGCCATCTTGGAGGAGTTGGACTGCCTATGCAACCTCTGTAGGGTTCAGGTATCGCCTCATGATACCAGTAGTGACACTGACCCTAAGCAAATGCAAAACTAGTGAAAAACAGTAATTAAAGATGAGTAGGAAAAAAAATGTCAGTGGCCTCCACCTGAAAAACCGTTCCTGTTTTGGGGGGCCGTCTCATTGTTGCCCATCTAGTGCACCTGTTGTTAATTTCATTAACACCAAAGTAGCTGAAACTGATTAACAACCCCCTCTACTACTTACTACAGTCTATTTTGAAATCACAGTACCCTTGTGAAGATAAAATAGCTGTCATCCTAATCCCTGTAACACAAATCTGCCACCACTGCAGCATGTCTCCCAAGCTCTTGTCAGTGAAGCTTTGCTTCCTCCTTCTTGCTCAGTGTTTCCAGGAGGTTCAATAAACAAGTTTTCTGATGAATGAAGTGAACAAAACCATCTTCTTGAATAGCTTCAAAGCATTTAATTTGAATCAATAAGAAAACTATTCATAAGAGTAGTAAAAAAAATGAGCTCATCACAATTTCCATTAGTGGTATCCTCATCAGGGTCTGACAACTAGGTCTTCTTCCTTTATATTAAATTTCCTGTTTTCAAGGGGATCTATCATGTGTTTATAGATTTTGAGCAAGGTAATAAAATACTGGAGTATTAGAGTGCTTAATCTCTAAATATTGCTTTCCATTTCCAATAATCACATCTAACTCCTGACCCTCCTTTAATAGTTTTCTTACTAATTTCGTATTATTGAACAGAGGATCTTTCTTCATACTTTGTTCTATCCATTATTACAACTCCTCCATCTTTATCAGCTGGTTTGACCACATACATTTCTGAAAGTCTTTCAAAGTCTGTTTGTGAAGCTTTGTGTGTGAAGTTTTGTCTCTAAATAAATCCTCTAATTCCCCAATATCTTTTATTACTACCTTTTAAAGTGTTTAAATATCTTAGTTACCTTCAACTCTGTTGAAAGAAGTCTTGGGATCTAATATAGCAAAGTCACCCTCTACTAGTCCCATTCTTATTGGTTTTTTACAGAAGTATTTCTTCAAAGGAAAACTATTTTTTAGTCATCTGTATCCCACTGGGGAGACTTTCCTGCACTTCGTGTTACATAGCAACAACAGGAAGTGAGAGGAAATACCTCCAAAGTGAGAGAAATTCCTGATAGGCACCAGGATCACCAGAACTAGTATTCTCATTGGAAGATTTAACCTCTATTCCTGTTCTGGGATTTTCCTTCACTTGGTAATAATGCTCAGAACAAATTTTAGTCCTTTCTGTAATATACTATTTTCCCCCTTGTGAGAACCTTTCTACTCAAAATAAAGATTAAACCTTCTTTAATTTGAAAGAGATCCTGGAAATTGTTGTTCAATTCAGCAATATCCTATTTAAAATTTTGTGTGTGTCTCAGCTCACAAAAGTAGCATAATACTTAGGGATTGATTTACGTAAGGTAAATAGGCTGTGCACTTGGAAGTACACTGCAAGTACAGTTGCTCTAGATCTGGGGGGAACATGCAAAGAAAATAAAAAAACACAGCATTTTTGCTTGCACATGATTGGATGAAAGAAATCAGCAGAACATGGCCCCATTTCAAAGCTTCCCCTTGGATCTAAAGAAACTGTACTTGCAGTGCACAGCCTATTTACATTTAGTAAATCAACCCCTTAGCCTTATTCAGACAAATTATGAATATAAAAATAGATGTCTTAAATGGTAGAATACACGTTTCTTGTTCCACAAAACTGTTATTTGTTAGGTCCTCGAACATCATATTCCACATAATATAAAATAAATTATCTTGTTTTCAGCTTACTTGTATAGGGTTGAGGTCTGGTCCATTATCTACAGAATTATAATTTTTAATGCCTGTAAAATCAACAAAACTTTAATGCCTTAAAGTGGAGTTCCAATGAAGATACAAAAAAAATAAGTCAGCAGCTACAAAAACTGTAGTCGCTGACTTTTTAAAAAATAGTCACTTACCTGTCCCTTGATCCCGTGGTGTCTCCCCCCCCCCCCCCCATAGCCAGTTTCACTGGCTGCCCTGTGTTCCCAACACTGGCATCTTCAGTGTGGGCACCCAGCTGTGATAGCTTGTGGCTATCACAGCCTGGTGCTCACTGAGTATGTGCGGGTAGCGCTGCGCTTTGTGAATGGTCCCGTAGTCTTCTGGGACCTGTCACGTGTCCCAGAAGATTAGGGGAAGGGAGGGGAGGACAACTTCCACTTCCGATCGCCTAGGTGATCACAGAGGAAGTCAATTTCTGGTACGCGCTCCCCTCCGCTCCCCAAAGGTGCCAATCCTTAACAGGGAGCAGGGGACCAGTCCTCAAAGTGGACTTTTGGGTGGATCACTGCTTTAAAATATAATTTATTGATTATTGGCAAATTGTATAGATAAAGATAATCCTTTAAGACAAAACTACTTCTTTTGTCTGCTTTGCAAAAACCTTTTCTTAGGCAGTTTTGCATTACGAGGAGCTGTGCAACAAGACATTCTGTCCACCAAAAAATCCTAAATTAAACAGATGCAAAAAAATAAAAAACGGTTTGTAAATATTCTTCAAAAGCTCCCCAACATGAAAAATGATATACTTGATCAGAGTTTACCTTTGGGCAGCTACCACAGAGTTAAGTCTCTAGTGTTTAATGTGCATCATAAATCAGTGCTCTCATTTCTAGTACCAGTAGAGAACTTGATGAAATTTCACATAATTAGGTCAAAGAGAAATGGACTAGATAGAATTACAAATCCTGTGGTTCCACTGAGGTCTAGATATTATATTTTATCTTTTCTCCCAATGCGATTTTTTTACATACTTGAGATTTGATCTTTTTTCCTACTTGATGTAGGTAAGATCTTAAATGGATGTGCTGTTTAAAAAAAATAAAAATAAAATAAAATTTGGGATATAGCTGTCTCTCACAATGAAAAGTAATATCCCATGAGAACTTGACAGACAAATGCAGTCTGTCTTCTGACTCAGTATGCGAAGATTAGTCATGCAGTAACAAAGATGGATTAAATCTGAGGAAATTGTTTTGAAGGTACACTTCATCAGTTCAGCAACCTGCTTAATTTGATATTTTAAAGTACATTTCCTTATAATGAGTTTAAGGACAGTAGAAGATCTGTTTTGCAAGGCTCAAATGTTATATAGCATGTGCTTTACATAATGATGAAATACTTTAATATCTCAAATCTATATTAGAATCCCCCTAACTATGATAAATACAGACTTTTGCAAAATGTAAGTATCATTTCCTTAAAGGAAACAGGAAAATGAAAATGGATTAGTAAGTACTGTATGAAGAGTATGGGTATATTTTATAAATAGCTGTGTTTCAAACTACCACTGTCGTACAGTTCTATGATAAAGGGTGGTAATTCATAAGTAATAGATTGTAGAAATGGTGTGTTTTCATTTATTTATGGCTAAGTAGAATCTGTCTCACACCAATCCCTCATGACATCATATTTATCATTGTTTTTCTCTGGAGTAGGGCAATAAAATGGCACGCTAAGATATAAGTCATAACTACAATATCCTAAGTTCACTTTAGTTGAGCATATTAGAAGGATCTAGAAAACATATGTGTATTGCTGCCTAACTGCTTCCAATTCCCACAGAGAAATGTAAAATCCTGCTAAATTATATTGCATATACAGGGGTTAGATTAAAAAAATGGAAACATTACATGATTTGCAGGTGTGAAAGTTACAACATGTTTTCTGTTGAAAGCAGAAGTGATGTAACATTCTTTTTTTCCACTGAGTGATGTGACACCAAGCTAACAGGTGAAAAGCCTTACTTTCATCATTCACTGTGTGTGCTTCTAGTAATATGGAGTTGTGTCAGAGCTTACTGAGCTTCAAAGAGAGCAAATTATTGGTGCCCGCTTAGCCGGTGCCTCTGTGACTGAACTTGTCTATTTGCTGTGTTGTGAGGTACAGTATCAAAGGTTATGGCAGCATATACAGTTACCGGGAAAATCTTCCCAAGTTCCCAAAGTTCCCAACATTTTAAGAAGTCATTAAACATTTTAAAAGTTAAAGCTCTATATAGTATTTTGTTTACCTGTGGTGGAGTGGATATTAAGCAGGAGGTGATTGGAAAGCTGTGGAGAGTGGCATTGGACATACACAGGAGATCTTCATGGTCCATTAAAGGTTTATTATGACCAAGCAATTGTTGTGAGGTCATAGAGTGGAGGCGAGCAGACAGCTGGTGGTGGTTCAGTCACATAATGTAAATGGATCAAGCACAAGCGGTGACACACATTTAAAGCGGAGTTCCACCTGAAAAAAAAAAGAATGTAAAAAAACAAAACTGTAGCTTAATTAAGTTAGCTACAAAAACTGTAGCTGCTGACTTTTAAAATACAGACACTTACCTGTCACTTGGTCCAGCTGTGTTCTCACCACCGCTGGTTTCACCGGCCATTTTCTTTCCCTGGCACCAGTATCTTCAGTGTGGTTCCCACTGCGCATGTGTGAGAAACGCTACGCTTTGTGAATGTCACATGTCCCAGAAGACTACGGGGAGGGGGGGAGGACAACTTCCACTTCCGATCACCTAGGTGATCGCAGCGTAAGTGCAAGCAGGTACCTGTCAAATTCGGGTACCTGCTCCCCAAAGGTGCCAATCCTTAATGGGGAGCAGGGGACAAAGGATTAAAGTAGAACTTCCTCTTTTGGGTGGAGCTCCGATTTAAGAAATAGGACTTTGTTCAATCAACTGATGACAGAGGACTTTAATTTATTTATTATTTTTCATGAACATTTATTCAAAATTACAGTTATTTTATGTGATATGGTGTAAGGTGTTCTGAGATTGGTCAATGCTGCACAATCTGATTATAATTTTGATTTTGCTGAACATATGAGAGTGGCAATAGGTGCATAGCTGCTGAGACAGGGAGATTTCTTATTACGTTTCACATTTTACATACAACTTCAGTTTTAGTAGGAATAATTGGTTTGGAGTAGCACAGGCACTGTGAAGTAGATTTATATATTATTTTTTGGCTTAGTTTGATTTAATTTAATTTTTCTTAGCAGCTCGCAAGGTTTATATATACACTTTTGTAACGCAATATAAAGTATAACTGAAGGGCAAGTATTTTATTGTATTCCTAGTAAAGTGATAACTTGTAGAAAGATGTCCATTCCTACCTATGTGTTTTGGATGTTCCTTTATAGACACCTAGAACCTTCTATTAAGAAAAGTATCAAAAATGATTATTGAATCAGACAAAATTAGAGAATAAGAGAAATAGAAAGAGGGCCATCTTACCTTTACATTAAGTAAGGTTCATGAAGATACTCCTAAAGATTCTGCAGTACAATATGTGTAGTAATTGGTCAAAATGCCATATGCTCACATAAATAATGTGCCCTCAAACTAAATCTTCTTTATAAGTTAAAAAGATAAAAACTATGGAATAGCTATAGTATGCATGTATGATCAGGAATTTCTACTATTTCAGTTACCATTTTTGCACCTACTCAAAATGCTTTTATTTCTATTGTTCTTGGTCTGATCACTGGTTTGGTTTTCCTAAATGTCACTTCCAGCTTTAAAACAAGTAGGGAAGGTTAAAATGCTGTAAGTTTTTAACTACTGTCTGTGATTTGTGAAGAGTTTTCTGTAACTTTTGTGCGGTCACCAAAACAGGATATGAATATTTCCCTACTGTGGACAAAGAGTGCAGTTTTTAGTAGAGTGGAGAATGATCAGAACCTCTTTCAGGTTTTATTGATGTGTGTGTGTTTCTGTTGAGGAGATTCTTCTTATAATCTCTTCGGTCACAGAGCCAAAAGTTAAGGGGAAACTCAGTGGTGCCAAAGCAACAAAATCCTAACAGAGGCTTTAACCCCTCTCCACTCTATCTAAAGCAAAACATAGTCTAAAATCATAAAGGGTATCATATTAACATAAATGTTTTGTTTTAATTGAGACTTTTTTTATTGTAGGTAAGGTGAAATTGACACATTTCCCATTTATTGGTACAATTTTACTCAAACTTTGTGTGTTCAGGCACTGTACCAATCTGCACCTCAATTATCTCCATCTGGTTTACTGTGCTTGCTCTCTACTCTCTTGCCTAGGGTGGTCACCTTATATAAAGCAAATGAACCAGATCATCTTGTCATCTAAGATTTCAAAGGCATCCATAAATGTGAAGAGTCTAAGCATTTCAGCAGCTGGACTCACTAAAACCCTAAACCAGTGAATAATACAAGAAGTCTAAGAAATCACATCACTGATCAACAAGCAGTCAAGCTACAAATTCCTGTTGCTATGTTACATGACAGCACAAAAATCAAATCTTCAAACACACAATATATAAACAGATTAAAACAGCTTTTAATTAAAAAACCTAAGAAATAATCATACATTTATTACACATTTTAAATATATTTTAACTGCTTACTTTACTCACTCTACCTTTTCTACTACACATATATAATAGAAAAATAATGAATGTAATAATTAATGAAACTTTTTGTGACTTTATGTATTTGCTGATATAAGTTTGTTAAATTAAAAGTTGATTTATATTTTAAAAAAGTAGAATTTTTGCCATCTAATTTACTTTGAAAGCCTTTGGCTCGAATAGATTAATATTCAGGCAAGATAAATTCTGTCCAGCTGTGGAAAATAAAACAGCACTATCGCTATTATGTTAATTGATTTTTCATGCATATTACTTTCCCAGACTTTGCAAATGGGCATCAAACACTTCTCAGGGCTGTTTGTCATGCTCTGTATAGGAATTGGTGTATCTATTCTCACCACTATTGGAGAACATATTGTATTCAGATTGGTTCTGCCGAGGATTAAAAAGAAATCCAAATTTGAAGTACTGGCTTCACACTAGTCAGGTATGTAGACTTTTTTTTTATTTAACTAAAAAAGAATAATTTTCTTTTTACAAAACATGTACAGTATATGGTCTTGACAGATTCACCAAACCAGTAAAAAAATATATTTCTATCTATCTTCTATCTATCTATCTATCTATCTAATGCAGCGATGACTATTTAGGCTAGTTTTGCCTCATCCAGTACTTTTATTAGCCCAAGTGTTGTTTGATCTAAGACTTGTTTGCGTATTCAGTATAAACCTAATGCTGTAAATGTTATGATTATATGAGTGTGCCCAATAATGCATATGTTACCCTGTTTTAAACTTGGAGTATATATATTAATAATATTGTAAAGCCCACCAATTTTAGCTATGATTATCTTCCATTAAATAAAGATTTTCATTTTACAAAATATTTTATGAAATTTGTATCTAAATTTACATACGGTATGCTTGTTTTCATGTTCTTAAAAAAATTCAGGGTAGTCTCTTGTCTTATTGGGGTTTATTTACTAAAGCTGGAGAGTCCAAAATCAGACTCCCTTCTGCATAGAAACCAATCAGCTTCCAGGTTTCATTGCCAAAGCTTCATTGAACAAGCTGAGGTTAGAAGCTGATTGGTTTCTATGCAGAAGGGAGTCTGATTTTGGACTCTCCAGCTTTAGTAAATAAACCCCATTGTGTCAAAGATAATGTGGATATCCTTTACTGTCAAGACTCTTCAGAGCATCCTTTGGTAGAATTTTACCAGCCCAGGTCAACACTTATAACATTCCTTCCTCCAACCCTCTCCCTTAAAACAAACCTTTTATATTTTTACTTCCACTAGTTAAAGCTGTGAGAGGAGAAAGTAATGAAAATAAAATCACCCCTTTGCATTTTTCTTCAGAGAGTATACAGTATATGGGTGTGGGCTGTCAAAATCCTTCGTAAGAAGGATCTTCTAGGGTAATCTCGTATAATATTTTGCCAGACCTTCAGACTTGATTTCCAGTGCAGGACATAGCTGATATAGTCCTCTTATCCTCTTGTGAACAGTACAGATTATTCTGAAATTATATTGACAAAGTTAAAGTGACTCTGTAAAGGGAAAAACAAAATTACAGTTGCTGTGAGGAAGACAGCTTCATGCTTACCTGTCCACCGGCTTGTTTGCTGTCATGACGCCCGCGTCCCAGGACTCAGACACCTCCACGCAGCTCTACCAACTTGCAGCGCCACACTGAATAAGCAATTGCAGTCACATGCATACGCACCTTCACATGGAATGTGATTTCAGCAACACCATACAGTGGGCCGAGATTACAGAGCCAAAAGTATGAAAATTGTGCCTGTGTCCAAATATATATGGACCTAACTGTATATACAGTACTTTTTTAGGGTTAATGGGCCTCCACTATTCTCCTAGATCGTATATGCTGATGTGTGACTTACTTCTGGTGTCAATTTAGGGGCCAGTATTTTTATAGCATTTTTACATCATTGCGTCATTGTTGCAGAAGATATTGATTTATTGACCTAGTACCATCAGTATTAACCATAGGGCCTCTTGGCCTCTCTGGCCCCATCCCTATATTAATGCTTGCCCTTGTGTGAGTGGAGAGTGTGCCTGTGTGCCCGGGCGGGTGTTTTTATGATATGGCAACGTTGTCATTTTGGTTTATTCTTGTGTAGGGTGGAGAGGTATCATTTACAATTTTGACATTTTTCACTAAATATTTTCAAGCTTCAGATTTGTTGTTTTTGGGACTTCTTATCGTGGGTTCTTTACTCACAAGTCAGACAGCTTCATGCTTACCTGTCCAGCGGCTTGTTTGCTGTTACGTCTCTTTGTAGCAGCGCTGCTGGCATCAATCCCTTTTCACACTTCCAGATGTGTTGAATAGCGTATCATCCATTGGCAGCTGTCATTCCTCCAACTGACCCCTTGGTTACTATTGTGGCCTGCAGTAATTGGAGCTCAGCAGCCAGAACTTCAGTGGAACTACTATTTGACCAGGCCGAGGTGTTGTATCGGATCAGCACCAGGAAGGTTCAGAAATCCAGGCTTCTGGTCATTGTAATTTTGTTAATATATGGACAAGGTAACATTAAAGAATAAGTTCACCTTAATGCAAAAAATAATAAATACACATGTTTTTGCAGGTAAAAAAAATGTGTATTTATTATTTTTCGTTGCAGGAGCCTGTAAACCATTGCACCAACGATCAGCCGATAGCTGGTGCCATGAAGGTGTCCAGAGGATCTGTCAGTATATTCCGTACAGGCAAACAGATATACTGACAGATATATGGGCAAGCAGTTATACTGACTCAAAGAACTGCCACAGCACTACACAGCACCATGATAGTTCACTGAGAACTACAAGATGACCGATGCTAAGGCTGTCGGTACTTGTAGTTTCTCATTCACAGAACACAGTGAATAAGTGATGAGGCTGAGTGGGCGGAGGCCCGCACAACCACTTTTTTTTTTTTCAATTTGATAGTGACAGCTAGTGAGGGGGAGAAGATCCCCTGCTACCTGTGAAAGCAGGGGAGAGGGGGCTAGTCTGATCATTACGTGTTACACCCTCAAAATGGGTGTAACATGTAATATGTTATAAAAGGTGAATTTATCCTTTAAGACCTCTTGCACATGAGACACCTATAAACACCACATTTTTTTACTGATCTAAATGCAGCTCATTGCTTTTAATAGGCCTGTATACACAGGCACATAAAAACTTGCAGTGCATATAGATCAGTAAAAAAAACTAAATCTGAATTGCTGGTTGGTATTTTTATGTGTATATGTGC